ATTCCTGAAAAATTAAAAAATTCTTAATCACACGCTGTTGATACAGTAGAATCTCGCTTATCCAGACTAATTGGGGATGAAAATAGTCCAGATAATTGAAAGAATAACAATAGACAGCAAAAGATATGTACAGTACATACATTATGAATAATTTTTATTTATCTAGATTTACATATACTGTAGCCTCCATATTAAATTATTTTTTATTAAGAAATTCAATTATTGTTTAACTTCATAATTTTTTCATTTTGTTTTTTTATATCTGAGATCATTGACATTCCAACACCATATTTATTAGATAATGAATGTCCAGACTCACCACGTTTCAAACCATTGATTATATCCAATTTGTCTTTAATGATAATACAACACGTTTTCTTTTTGATGACATATCGATAGTAATAAAAATAAATACTGTATTTAAATCGTGATCAAATTTTCAAGAAACAAACATTCGTATTGAATTTGTACTACTACTGACCGGTACTAACAGACTACTTATTGTTTAAAGGCCCTCTGGTGGCACAAGAAGACGGATTTTATAAAATAAAAAACAGTTGAAACTGTCAAATTTTTATTCATAAAAATGTAAACTATCATTTTATGACGATTAAAATTTTTTCATTGTGTTCATGGCTTTTAAGTAATGCATAAACCTTTGAGGTGCGAGGCCATAGGCGGTGGCCCATGTCGCCCATGCCTTATGCTACCATTGGCCATAGAAATGATGTAATTTCAATATAAATTGTTTACAAATTTGTATGTCAAGTTATATTTTTATTACAACACAAAATGTATTGAAAAGTTTACGACCACTGTGCCGGGTGAGACATTGTTGGAACAAAAAAAGTTGTGTGTTCCATCATATACATAAACAGTATTGCAATTCGCCAAGTGCAAATCAGCAAATTCGTAAAATTTTTGTTTATTTTGAACAATCCAAATAATCAAGGTTCTACTGTACTTCAATATTTTGTTACGACGGCAATAAGACATTAGTTTCGTACAAAGCCAAGTCAAATAAAGTTGTTTATGTTTTGTTGACTATTCATGATCAACTTAACATCGATGAAAATACAGGAAAACCACAAATAATACATTTTTATAATAGTACAAAGGGTGTGGTAGACACAGTAGATCAAATGTGTTCAAATATGAGTCAAAACCAAAAGGTGGCCACTATGCGTGTTTTATAATATGTTAAACCTATTAGCAGTCAACAGCTATGCTATCTATGTCTCTAATAACATTAGAAACAAAAACACCCAATGTCCCAGCAGGATTTCTTTATGAAGATGGGAGACAAACTCATGGAGCCCCGGCTACAACAGCGGTTACAGTGTCTTCGAGGCATGATATCAGAACCATGATACAGGATATTCTAGGTGATGTGCCCAGTGTAGAAGCTCATACTCATTCTGCATCAAATCCACGTAAAATATTCTAATTATGTCCATCGAAAGCTCGACAAATGACAAAACACCGTTGCATGAAATGCAAAAATGCGATTTGTGGCCTCCATAATGTTAACATATGTAGCAACTGCGTGTAATGTTATTTCCTAAATATTTTGTCCTTATTTAGTTCCTATTTATCCATACTATTGTGTCATGTAACAAGTTATTTTTATTAAACAATTTTGTTGATATTAATGTATTTTAATGTGTAGTCTGCTCGACAAATGTGTAGTTATACAGTAGAACCTCGATTATCCGGATTTTCGATTATCCGGATTGTTCAAAATAAACAAAAATTTTATGAATTTGCTGATTTGCACTTGGCGAATTACGATACTGTTTATGTACGTGATGGAATGTATAACTTTTTTTGTTTCAACAACGTCTCACCCGGCACAGTGGTCGTAAACTCTTAAATTTATTTTGCGTCGTAATAAAAATATAATTTGACATATGTATTTATAAATAATTTATATTCAAATTATATCATTACTATGACCAAGGGCGGCGTATGAGCAACGTGGGCCACCGCCTATGCATCGCGGTGCGAAGGGCCTCGCGCCTCGAAGGTTTATGCATTACTTAAAAGCCGCGAACGCGACGAAAAAATTTTACTCGTCATGAAACGATAAATAGTTTGTCAAATTTTTATTCATAAAAATGCAGTTTCAACTGCTTTTTATTTTATAAAATCCGTCTTCTTGCATCACCAGAGGTCCTTTTAAACAATAGCTAGTCTGTTAGCGCTGGTCAGTAGTAGTCCAAATTCGATACAAACGTTTGTTTCTTGAAAATTTGATCACGATTTAAATACAGTATTTATTTTTAATATTACCGATATGTCATCGAAAAGAAAACGTGTATTATCATTAAAAGACAAATTAAAGTATTTGTTTCGATTATCCGGATTTTTCCTTATCCGGACTACCTTCATCCCTAATTAGTCCGGATAATCGAGGTTATACTGTAATGTAACTGAAAATTAAGTTTAGTTATCTAAAGTTAAGTACCTGAATCAATTCCTAATGTCTTCCTTTTCTCAATTATTTTATTTGCTTCCATATTTGCAATTTCTGTATTTTTGAAAGATTTCAGGTTTACTCCCTTTTTTCCATCTAAGATTCGTCTTGTCGTCAATGACTTTTCAGTAGTGATAGCAATTTTATTGACGACAGTAATAGATTTGTGTGTTGAACTCAATACACCAAATTAGAAGTTCCTCAAAAGTTTAAGCCAACATGGTCAAAAAGAGATTGGTTAATACCATGGTTTGGAACATTATGCAACTAATGCTGTCCTGGTGGACAACATTAGTTGCAGTATTACTTGGTCTGCTATTTACAATTTTAATCTGTATACTAGAGACCAAATTTAAAAAGTTTTTGGATAGTATAATATTTTTAGAATTCTACTTAATCATGCTATTTTACAATTAGAAAATTATTCTACATTATTCAATCAAAAGCAAACTTTCTTTATAAATTGTATGTAATTCCAAAAAATAATGCATAATCCATACTTGATGTTTATCATGCAAATCATTTAATGTCTGATAAGATCTTAAAAGATATTTTCAGAAGGAAGTTGAACCAATGGTCAGAAACCATATTATCAGAGGAATGCTGTAAGTGACAACTGAGAAGACATAAGTGGGTGGTAGTTATGAATAGGCGGGTAAAGATTTGAGAGCAAGAACAAAGCAGGAGAAGTGGTGCTTAAAATGGTGCATATGATTTAGTGCAGCTAACACATTTTTCAAGAAAAATAATTATTATATCCTACAATAATGGATCATATAGTTCATAAAATAGATGGTGTTCTTTCACCCTTGTTGTGGATAATCTCAAGGGACCTTAATAGTTCTGGATTGCATGTCCAAGGATATAAAGACAATATTGTTCTACTTTATATCAGAAAATTTCCCAGCACTCTGTTCGTAAGTCAGACCTTATTCAAAGAGACCTGACACAGGACTTGCCTTTTTTATGCCCCATACATAAGGTTTGTCATCAGCTCCATGCAAATTTAGTTTAGATTCATCTGAAAACAGCATAATCCTGTATGTCAGTGTCAGTCAACACTCAGCTCCATGCTTCCATGCTGTTTAGCCAAGATAAGACACTGTACATCTTAGTTGTCACTAATGCCTTCTTATATAGATAGTAAGCATTTAAACTGAAGTTATACAGTTTATGTACTTGCTTTTAAATTTATCTGCTCTATCCATTTTACTTTCAGCCCTAAAAAACTAGCAATGTTCTTGAAGGCTAAGACACTAGCATCCTATCATGGCACAACATACTCAAATGTTTACCTTCCGATTCAGCTTTTCTTTCATTGTTGCCATGTTCACACCGACTTTGCAACAAATCCAAAATTGTTAATTAATGACATTTTTTGTTCAAATGTAGTTATCTAAGATGATGATCTGAAAGAAAACTGAAAAAATTTCTAGTAATAAAATGTATTTGGCTCCTTGAACTAAGCAGCTTTACAGCATTGCATATTACAATGGGTGATCAGTTAACGAACAGTTTGGACTGTGAACAAATCGAACAATGAACACCTGACAGAACAAACACAAGAAGCAGTGATGCATTTAAGATTTGTAAAACTATATTTTACTGGCATCTATGAATAGTTTATAGAACTAGACTTTCACAGCTGTATACAAAACCATTTTTGCACTAGTTGATTTCTGTTTTCTGAATTTTTATAAGATAAGTGTTTTTCTGTACTTTTTATTCAAAAAAAAAAAAAACCTGATAATATTACGAAACCTAAACATAGTGGAGTGTCAAGAGCTGTGTTCACTACAGAAACTTAGCAAGAGATAATAGCCAGTAGGAACATCAGACATCTACCCACTCTCTAGGTAGAGAGTGGGTAGATGTCTGATGTTGCTAAGCAGTATTAGTTCAACAGGTCTACGGTAGGCACAATCTTAGCTAAGAAAGGTATAATGAAAAAAATTCAAATAGATAAAGTGATGAAAATGGTATATGAGAAACAAAGATGTGCCATCTATAAAAAAATGGGGAGATTGCTTTCAGTTTGTTATTACGTGTAAATAAATGTATTAATTAATAAATTATATAAAATTTATTTATTTTTTGGGGTCATCAGAACGAACTAATTAAATTTCCATAAAAATCTATGATAAATTGATAATCAGTTAATGAATAATTCAGATAGCGAACATTGTCTTGGAACGGATTATGTTTGTTAACTGATCACCCACTGTATTTACTGCATAACATTCATTTTAATTGGTAATATAAAACAGCTCATAGATCTGAAGAAATTATAACAAATATTTGTCAAAATTGTTTGTATATTTGTTGCTTTAAGTTTTATACACCACACTTTGTTATATAGATACAAAATTTCAATACTGTGCATTTTTTTCATTTTAAAATGTTTTTAGAATATAATAATAATATTATATTCTAGTATAGTAGTATAATAATAATATTATATTCTATATTATATTCTATAATAATAATAATTATTATTATTAGTATAAATGAATAAAAATATTACCGTGGTAGGACTAGGTGAATTTTCATCAGCCGGTTGTGAAGGCTTTTCTTCTTGCCAATCCCCCCCTCCACCTTGTCCCCCTTGTGTAACAATAGTCATAGCGGCGTATGTAAAAAACTTTCAATGTAAGTTAAAACTGCAGAAAACTGGAAACATATATGAGATGTCTTCAGCATGAGTATAAATCTGAAATAAATTCGTTATTAAATACAGTGAATAATACAATTATAATCACAATTCCTCAAATTCAAAGAAAGATTTTATTATCCTAATAAGAGAAATTTATTAAATTTTATTTTATTACGATTTTGTAGTTAATTTGAAATATTTTGAAAATTAATAAAAAAAAACTTGAAGGCATTTTTTTCAATTTTCAGAACATTTTATTACATAAAATATTTTTGTATCTTTTATAAATAAAAAAAATTATATTCTATGATTTTTAAACTTATTGCCAAGTAATTATAAAACTTAAATAATAGCAGTTTTCTAACATTGTCACAGTTCATTTAATGTACAGTAATACCCCGACTTACGCTATTTTCAAATCTCGTCGATTCATCTTTTGTTTGAGCGCCACACAACCCTTGATTACTCACTCCCTCCACACTATTGTTCAGCTTACATGTTCAGATGTGTCGCGCGGAATCCACACATAGCTACGATTTATTTTGTGTTATTTATTTCTGTGTTTGTTATATCTACGGAGACTCGAGAGACTCTACTATGTCATCCAAACAAAGTAGAACTAATTATTCGCATCAAACAAGAAAAGAAAAACTTTATCTTTGGAATGTAAAGTTAACATTGGGTATGTTCGTAAAGTCGAACGAGTTAA